GATCAAGAGACCCCTGAAATAATGTCTGGAGAAGGCTAAGCAAAGGAGATTTTCCATTTGCTTGCTTGCCCTTATGTTACGTTGTCATCTCGGGGTAGGGGTCAGGTACCTTTCAAATAATTCTCCAATATATTCCAATTATGTGGCAAGTACCGACGCCTTCCTGTTGCTTCTGCCTCTTTCTATACATGTGAAAGCAAAAACAAAACTAAACCACAATGATCCGCAGACTAAAATGCCATGGAATTCTTTGTAATCCCATGTAGTCCTCCATCTCACTGTAAACTCGACCATGCGAAGTAGAATATGGGGGGTCTTTAAAATTAATTGTAGGGTGGTTGACCTCTTCCATACTTGCCCTTGATTTTCCATTTGCTTGCCTGACCCCTCCTATACGTCTACTTGATTTTCCATTCGCTTGCTTGCCCTTACGTTACGTTGTCATCTCGGGGGAGGGGTCAGGTACCTTTCAAATAATTCTCTGTCAATAGGGATGAGGTCCCAGTATGGTTGCTATATAGGTACATGCCATATACTTTTGGCTCAAGTGCCCAACCAGGTAAAAAGGAGCTTTAGCGCGCGAGCTTCATGTTGAACTAAGGGCTAGAACGGGGCCAGGGCACACCTTTTCATCTGTTCGCAGGTTATCAGCCGTATCCAGACTCCTTTGAGCTGGGTACGTGCTGCGGCCTTACACAACACCATCTAAACGCACACGCATCGGATAGATCAGTTACCCTCAGTCACTGAAGATGGACCAATCCGACGCCAGCACTGCATCTTTTGGAGCAGCTGCTGCGGCCGCAGATCGGGTGAGTGCATCCCACAACTCTAGTCCAGGTACGATCGAAGCGGAGACTCTGACAGTGGTGAGAGAAGGTGCGACAGGTAGAGCGCGAAGTCGTTCCCCGTCAGCGCAATCAACACCACCGGGGGGGACACCGAGGTCAGGCCGTAGCCCTAGGGAGACAAGGAGGAGGACTGACACCGGAGCAGTGAGAGTGCTAGCATTGGAGGATGGGTCAACTGTACCAGTGCCGTCGGACAGCGAAGCTGGAGATGGAGCAAGGGCAAGCACTGACAACCTACAACTAGCACGGGCCGATGGAGACCTGAATGCGAAGTGTGCGCAACTACTTGCCGAAGTGCATATGTTGAACCACCAAAACGCATGGATGGTCGAAGGTGAGCAGAGACAGAACCAGATCATACAACACGAGACCGAAGTCCACGAAGTAGTGATGGCACACCTCGAGGAATGTTATGTCGAAGGATATGGAAATCAACGAAGAATCACCCAACTTACGGAATCCAGAGACTGTTTGCTCTCAGCAGCACACGATTTGCAATACCAGATTGACACTGATCGTGTGGCAATGCGGGATCGTCTCACCCAGTTAGGGGAGTACGCTGATCGCAACAGCGCAGAGATGGTTAGTCAAGTTGTGAACATCGGCACGGAAGAGATCCAGGCTATATCGGCGGAAAGAGATCGAGGCGTAACCGAGGTCATGACTGCAGTCGCAGATGCTGAGAACATTAGGGATCTGTATAGACAGGAGTTAGTTGGACTACAAAGGCAGAGTGCCAGGAACAAACACGAATATGCTGAGGAGATGAAGATGAAGGAAGCAATGTATGCAAGCAAGATCAAATGGTTATCAGAAGAGAATGAGGAGCTCAACAACCGATCTTATAATCAGGACAATTTCATCATGACCATCAGGGAGCAATTGAAGAGGGCGAACGAGGAGTTGACGCAGGCGAGGATTCAAGGATCCGAACGACCGTCTCAACCATCCAACGTCGAACTCAAGAAAGCTGAAGTCAAGGTGAACATGTTGGAAGAAGACATTCTACGGAAAGAGAGGATGCTGAAACGTCTTCAGGAAGAACTGATCGAATCGAGCGCAAGTGAAGCACAATTGAAGGTCGCACTGACGTTGAAACCGCCAGACATGGGATCGGAACCCAATGTGGAGAATGAGATGATGACCAAGCTTAGAGCGGAACTTGGACGTACCGAGAAGTCGTTAAGTCCGAGGAGAAAGAGGCAATGGAGTACTACGAAGGTATGATGCAGAACCAGCAGGACATGATGGAATTCGAAGCGCATGCAGCACGGCTCAGAGATGAGAGGAATAAGTACCGGAGGAGGTACGAAGAGGAGCGCTTGAATGCAGAGAATGCAGCCGCAACCGAACATGGTGCCGCCTCATCCTCTAGCTCGGGTGGCTCCAAGATATCTCGGAAGGAACACGAGAAAATCAACATCCCTGCATGGCCCAAGATACACGACCTGGAGGTTTGGAAATCCCAGGTTGTAGCGGCAGTCGTGACGGCATCGGGCGACGAAAGGCAAGAAGATTGGATCCAGTGGCTCTCGGATGCCTTCAGATCACCATATGACCCATTTCTGCTCGAGACATCAGGTGAAGCAAGATTCGCTAGCATAGACGCTAAGCTAGGTATCACCCTACATACGATCATCCACGCAGCAGGTGAAAGATCTCATGACGTACAACTGAAGGTGAGGCAGATGATGCAGAGACGTGCGAGAGGCACAACCCCTGGAATGGTCAAGGGACGAGAAATGTTAGCGTTGATCGTCGATAGCTTCCGGAGTGCCGACAACGTTGATGTGATGTATGCATCCAAGCACTTATTCGATCTAAAGTTCCCTGGGGATAATCAACTATCCAGATTCCTTGGACAGTGGGATGAGATCATATCAGGTATGGATGCGGATGACATGCTTCCTGACAAAGCACTCCGCAACCTGCTTTGGGATAAGATTAAGGATTCCAAAGTTATGGCGTTAGACTTGTCCGTGTACGACAACATGTTGGATAAGGATCCGGATAAGACCTACCAGAAGTTACGAGAGATCATGGCGAAGTGGATACGGAAATCAATCGAGACCACAAACAAGAAAGAAAGGGAAAAAGCTTTTGGGAACCTCGTGAAAGCCACACCAGCGGCGGAGAAGAAGGACCCTAAAGCGAAGCCCAAGAATACCAAGGCCGATCCACCGAAGCTTGACGCCGCTCCAGTACTTCCTCAGGCTAACCCGAAGGATCACCACAAGAAGGACAAGAAGCAGGATCGTGGAAGGTCAACCACGAAGAGCCCAAAGGGGGATCGTGGCAGGTCAGCGACTCCGGCAGATACGTCCAAGATAGGATGCGCTTTCCACTTCCATGGGAAAAACGGATGTTCTAGAGGAGACAAATGCAAGTTTAGTCACCAAGAGAAGCACAAAAGTTCTGCTAAGAAACCAGAAAGCCTCAAGGGTGACAGATCAAAGAGTCCTGGTGGCAGGAGCAGTAGCCCTAAGCCAATGAAGGATCAGGTCTGTTGGAATTGGCAGAAAGGATCGTGCAAGTTCGGGGACAAATGTCGACGTCAGCATCACGCTGCCCCTGCTACAAAACAAGAGGCTAAAGGCAAAGCCAAACCTAAACCGGCTGCGCCAGCCTTCATGCTTTGCGGAGACATCGAGAGTGATGACGAGGACGTACAACCCGCACTTCCCAACGTACAACAAGGTGAGTTGGCGCTTCGCTTTAAAGTCAGATTCGATGACCAGGCGAATGTGACCACGTTCCCCTGCGATCCTGGTAACGAGCTAAACACCCGTCCCCTCAGGAAGAAGAAGAGTGAGGTGCAGAAGGTGGATACCGAGCTCATTTCGTCGTTGAGAGCCCTCAGAGTGAGCAATATAGCTGCACGAGTAGCACATGCCAAAGGTAAGATGATGGAGCTATTTTCTGCTGAACACATTGCCAAGGCATGGATACAAATCACTCAAGATGAAGGAATCGAGGTGAACGTCGACCTGTCTGACTTCAACACCAGCGAGGTAGTAAGGAAGGATTCTGTCAACTACACGATACCAGGAGACACGATGTTCATGGCTGTGGAGAGGTATGATGGACCACCGATACGCTTCATCATGGACACGGGATGTGGACACGACTTGATCTCAAGAGAGAAAGTCAATGCCATGGGCCTTACCACCAAGGAAGGACCCAAATCCGTGAGCTTCATGACAGCGAATGGTGTAACTAGTACATCAGAGATGGTGGACATCAATGTGGACGAACTACCCATGAGATCCGAGGCACACGTGTTGGAGAGCACGCCATCAGTCTTTTCCATCGGGAAACGGTGCATGGAACAAGGGTACTCATTCATATGGCCGGCAAATCAATTGCCATACCTCATCGACCAGAACGCGAACAAGATTCCGCTATCGGTGCATGACAACATACCCTACATCAAGGT